GAAGTGGGCAGAATGATGGATTAGAACTCAGGAGGCCTGGGTTTGATTGCCTGCTCAACTATGGAAACTCACTAGGGGTGTACAACTAGTAATGTCTCTCCTTAAATATCTCACTTACCTTGAAAGCCCTATTAGGATTGCTGTAAGTCAGTTCTCACTTGATGGCACATAACATAAAAGCTGGATCTGACTCAGTATAGAATTAAACTGTCAAGTTCATTGTCTGTATATGGTTCAAATGTCTGCATGGATTCTTGTGGACATTTATCGCTGTGAATGCTCATGAAAGAAGAGAAGAGTCAGTGTTATGTAGACATGTGGATGGTCAGTGCTACTATAGACCTTCGTTAAAATGAAACAAGTGGTTAAAAACAAACACTGAACTTTTATTGAGAAAGTTACATTTCAGATAGAAAAGACTAAGCCCTAATTCCTAACTAGATGAACATATTCATTAGATCACATACAGGAGAAGAGCAGTAGCATGGCTACTCTTTATAGAGAAATAGAAAAGGAAGTAAGACTGTTAGATGAAATCCCAAGAGTATCAATTTAACAAAGATGCTGGAAAAATAGAGGTCAGAAAGTCAAAAGGATAAGCCTCCCTGGCTTCTCTACCTCTCCTAATAACAATGGAATTAAAGTGTGAATATCTTAGGCTTTGATCACATCAGCAAAATGTTTCTGAGTTACTCCTCCTTAATGCTGACAGTTTTTTTTGGGGGGGGGAGGGTTTCAGATGAGGCAAGCCCATTACTGATTCTTTTGTACCCCCTCCATGCTATCTCTGCATCAAATCCAGTCTGCTGGGAGGCTACTACTGTATTTGTTCCACGTTTCATCACACAGTACAACTAACATCCCATTGAGTGTGTACTCCAAAAACTATTCATTTCCTATGCATCTGGCATGTGGTCCCACTTCCCTCACCTTGTTATTCAACTCCCTTAATTTTTAAAAAATAATTTTCAAATGAGAATGTTGGCACGTTCGTATACTCCTGTCAAATATGGAGCATCACTTCTCCACTGTCTTTTCACCACCACTGCAGTGAACTGTGTGTTCTCCTTCATAGAGGGTAACGAAGCACGAAAATAGGAAGAAATGGCCCAGATCAGTATGTGGCCAGCAAGGACATTTTGCCGACACATCAATGTACCCACACAAGATTTTTTTTTAAAAAAAAGGGAAGGGAGGCAGAGAAAGGCACAAGAAAAGGAAGGAGATATATCCTGCTCAAGGTGTGTAGATGAACGTACCACATGGAAGAGTTAAAAAAGATATGAACCACTCACATGATCACAACATGTGGCTATACAGGAAGCAGAAGACACAAGAAAGAAAGGGGGCATTTCTCTAGTGAGACTGTGGCCTTAGTCTGGGTCCAATCCATTGTCTTTAGGATTAAAAGATATGTTATGCAGACCTGCCTGGAATCCTTAATGAACTTGGTAAATTACTTCAGAGTAGACATGTATAGAATTGCACTCTAGAGCACATGTGTTGCCAACCATTTAGTCAAAGAAAACTGCAGATAGCTTTAAGCCTTAAACGGTTTAGGGCCTCATTACCTTATGGAACGCCTTCTCCCACCTACATCTACCCGTATCACCCGATCTAGACAGGAGGTGAGACTGAGGAGCCTAATGCCGAGGCCCAGAAGGAAAAAACAAGAAACCGGGCCTTCTCGGCAGTGGCTCCTTGTCTCTGGAACAATCTCCCTCCTGAGATTCACATGGACCCTTCCCTGAGCATCTTCAAATGCCAATTGAAAACCTGGTTGTTCAAGCAAGCCTTCCCTCCATCCACAGTCTGAATTTTTGTTTCTTGTGTTTCCTCCATCTTGGATCATTGTGTTTCTTAGTAATATACTGTCATTTTAAACTGTAAATTGTTATGTTATGTTGTTACCTGTCCAGAGTAGTCTATATGACTAGATGGGCAAGGCTATGAATGTAAACAAACAAACAAACAAACAAACAAAGCTCTATTCCTTTGGCTATACTGAAGATTCTCCACTATATCCAATCACTGATCAGAGACAACATAGATTCCCATCTGCGCTTTGCTCCTCCTGCTCCTTCCCTGCACAGCTATTTGCAAATATGCTGGATGAGAGCACTTCTCCTCCCCCTTTCTCATGCCACACTCTTTAGTATCATCCAGCCAACAACACTCTTCTTCTTAGCCTGCCACCCTTTAATGCATGTGGCAGCACCTAGATCCAATTTCTGTCATCTCTAGTTTAAAAGGATCTCAGGCACTAGATTTGAAGATGGCAAGAGGACTTTTGGAGCACACAATACAGGACTTGAGAGAAGGCAACTCGAGAGAAGTATATGAGAAATTGACAGAAAGAACCTATGGATCACTTCTTCCATCAGAATTTGGGAAAGTTACGTTTTTGGACTACATCTTCAAGAAAGCCCAGACAACACAGTCAGTATTATAGTCTAAACTTTTCCGAACTGGACTGTCCTCACACGATATTGTTTTTGTCCATTTTCCCAGCCAACAGGGAGAAATGCCTTTCACAACTGTGGCAGATAAGCATGACCAACTGTGCTCTTACATGGAGAATCTACACTGCTTTTTAGACCTATTCTGGACTTGTTTATACAACAAAGCTTTCTTACTAATGTCAGAATAATCAGGACCAACCTTACCCTGAAGCAACATGAAGCAATCACTTCAAACAGATTCTTAACCAAGTGCAATTTCATGCCTCCCACCTCTTTGCCTGCCACGAACTAATGCATGCAGGATGGGTGACATGTAATTTTGGCTCGCCTAGGTAGCACAGAGAACGTTTTTCTTTCAAGTGAAGAATGTTAGGACTGCAGAGATCCCAGCTGAGAGCCACTCGGAACATATGGTGGAAGCAAATTTGTAGCATGCTTAGCAGAGCCCCACCTAGAGCTCTCCATGTTAAAAACCTGGTACAGTATTTGTACAGTAACTAGACAAGCAAGGCTCTCTTTGGCTTGAAAATGCAAATTAAAAACAAGAGCTGCCTCTTTTAAGGCCCTGCAGAAGGCAGTCTGTCATTCACAACCTTCCAAACACACTCTCCTCCCATACATCTAGGGTTACTGAAAGAGCTCTCCAGATACTATTACAGTATCTGCATCCCTTACATCTGCAGAGCTTACAAAAGTCACTGTACATAACATTTCACATTCTGCTTTGTGCAGTTTAAATTTCCGATAGCTCAATGGGTTAGGTAGAGGATGGAAGTTTGATTCCCCACTGTGCCTCCCTGACAGGGGCTAGACTCAATGATTCATAGGGTCCTTTCCAACTCTACAGTTTAAAGGCTATTATTATTATTATTATTATTATTATTATTATTATTATTATT